CTGTTAACCACTCTTTTTTTCTCAGCTTCCTATCTGAGATCATACAAAGCACCTCAGAACAGAATAAAAAAAAAATAGAAAATAGGAGGAGGTCCAGTAAAACAGGCTGTAAACCTTCCTCCCTGCTAGCAATCCCTTTTGTGGCATGTGCCCTATTCACACCATGGAAGAGCAGTCATATAGTTGCTCAGCGCTGGGAATCCTGCTGGGAGCACATCCGCATCCAGATTTATGTGCGAGACTACTTACTGTTCTTAAGCCACTGTTATTGGCAGTGCTGGAAAAAGCCTTGGATTTGGATGAAGACAAAGATGCAGACAGGAGTCTGGGCTTGTGGAGACAATGACAGGGTTGTCTCTAATTGAAATAGAATCAGGATTCCTAAATCCTAACATCCCTCACATCCCTTCCCTGCAGTGAGCTGACAACTGTGAAACAAGGATGTCTCTCCACATTCCCACCAAATGACCAGGCAGATATTTGCTGGAGGGCTGCAGTAAGATCCCAAAGTTGCTTATAAGCTGTGAGGATATCAGCGTGATTCTTCAAGAGGAGATTTCTTATTTTCTTCAGAGAAATCCAGGGAGCTGCATATCAAACACTGCAAAACAGAGCATCAAGGTTGCAAAGCTTGGATCCAACATGCAGGCAATCTTAGAAGTAGGTTGTTCAGAAAGACTTAAGTAGTTATCCTTTCTTAAGGCATGAATACACCATGTTTAATTATGTGGTCACATACTTTTCTATTTTCTTAATGGGAGGTGAGCCTTATTTGTACACTGGCAGATAAAACAAGTGATTGTTTGTATGTTTTCTGTCACTGATTCCTCCCTTACTGGAAAGACTTGGATACCCGTTACCAAAGGCCAAAGGGTGAATTCCAGTGTCAGAGGTTTTTAGGAGAAAGGGTAAATAATATGAAGAAAAAAGTTCTTCAGTGCTTTGACTGAACCTAAAATATTATGTATAGTATTAAAGGAAGAAGAGAAGCCAGGCTAGTCTACACAGAAATTGTGTGGGCTGGGCCCCTTCTTTCCACATAAGACATACATATATTAAATTTAGAAGTGGAAGAAGACATAACCACAATAGGTAGCAGATGTGATAGGGTAACCGTTAGCATTGAAAACTCCTCCAGTACTCTAACCTCAGATTAATTTCATTTTCAAAAATTCTGAAACACAGCATCCTTATTAATGTTTTGATATGTTTTGAAATTGTGCAGTTGGAGAACAGTTTTTGTTTTTGTATGCAAGGTCAGCTGACAGAACAATTTAGAAAGAGTGTGGGAATGGAAGGAGATGAGGAAGGTCATAAAATTACTGCTGCATCCTGCAATCTGTGGTGTGACATATGGCATAGCAAAATGGAGTGTCCGCAGTTTGTTTCATAAATCTACTTTATAGGCATAAATGCTTTCTGAGTCAGAAAGGAGTCTTGTGTGGGATCAGTTCTATGATTCTTTCACTGCATCTGTCGTCATCCCAGAGACCAGTTTGTGATCAGTGAGACACGGCTCACAGGCTAAGCACTGGGAAGTGTGGTTTGGTGGAAGATTGACTATACCTTTTTTTTTTTCCTTTTTAATAAGACAAAGAAAAAGAAAGTTTTGGAAAGTTATGAGGAAAATATTTTGATTTGTGCTTTTGCACCTTTTTTGAAATGTCAAATTTAAGTGCTACCTAGTGTACTTTGGGGAGGGTTAGAGCCAAATACTATGTTTGGCTCTTGTCCGTACAATGCATTGGTTAAAGCCTAAATTTTCATGAATTTAGGGAAAATCTGTGGCTTTGACATGGTGGGGGTTGTTACCACGTAGTATGGGACTTATTTTCTATGTAATATTTAAGATCAGCTTGTGATTTTCAGTTTCTCAGCTCTTTTTGGAGAAGAAAAACTGACTAATTACTATTTTATGTTGAAATTATATTGCAAAATCTTCAGCAAAGAATCTAAGTCATTTTGATGTATTCAATGTTAGATACAGAAATCTCTATGAAATGAGAACATACTATTTTTCTGCATAGTTCTAGTGACTAATATGATCGGCAAATGAAAAATATAAAACTATTAAATATTGGTAGATTGTAGTTTTCTGTATGTATCTCAAACATAGCAAGCCAGCACAATTAGCCTCATCCTCTTAAATAACTTTATGCTCCATTCAGACTCTGAGACTTCTGTTCATATTCAATAATGATAAAGCTGTACTTAATAACGATTTACAATTGAATGGGTGGTATGAAAGTTCATTAACTCACTGCAACTTTCTTCATTCAGGAGGTATGGTTAGTTGTAATTTTTAGGTCCAGGTAACCTGACTTTACAGATATTAAAAGTCAAATATAGGTTATAAAATGTTCTGTTATATTCACATTTTCTAAGGAAGGTATTTTAGGGAAGGTGGGATGGAGGAAAAACTAACCTGATCAGTACAAGGGTATGTACAGTAAGTGAAATCACTAAAAACTTCTAGAGTCTAGTCTATATTTTATTTCAACCCATTGCTGTCCTGCTAGTTTTCTGAGGATATTTTATACTTTTTTTGGTATTTCATTATGTAGAATTCTTGAGACTAATTAGATCAATGATGTCTTTTTTTTTCTTGCTTGGCATGTATTTTTGTCTTTGACTTATTTCAAAGACTTTGGTTTATTAATGACAGAATTGCAAGTTAAACATTATTTCAGGGTCTAAAGAGTAACGATACATTGTTGACACTGTGGTTGTTCTCACAGGAATAAGCAGCAATGAGTCAATAATTAGCTGGGTAGGCTTTCGCTAATGTGATAGATGAGGCATCTTGTATCTGGCAGAGAATATCTTTTCTAAAAGCTGATCTATTATACTTCCCCCCCCTCCAGGCTGGAATAATAATATAAATAAACTTGCAGTCAGGTGGAAGCAAACTCATTTGAGGCCTTTTTGATACTTTGTAGTTAGCAAGGTTTGACTGGATAATTTAGCAATGTTTGCAAACTTTTCTACCTAATTAAAATGAAATGGGCCGATACATAAATTCTAAGAAAATACATGCTCAAACTTCGTAGCTTTTTATGCCCTCAGCTCAAAACTAGCCAAAACATATCAGGTTGGGTATAAATTCTCCTTTGTGTTTCAGCTGTGACTAAAAAGCCAGATTAGAACTATAGGAATTTATCCCATGTGATTCAGAAATAAGGAAAATGTGAAACTCATGAGAACTGAAACCAGCTGTTCTTCTACTTCCTTTCACTGAGCGTAGAGTGACAGATGACATTGTTTGTAGAGGCCCCATCTATCAGATTTAAGGACCTCTTATTAAAACTGTGCTTAAATATTCAACAATAAGCCATATATTTAGTCATCATAGCACAGCACTTTTCTCAGGAAACAAATTTGACCTGTAAATTAGAGGGAATAAAACCCAGGAAATTAGGACTCTAGGAAAAGTATTGGGTTTAAAATACTGTGAGCGAAGGAAAAGATGTTTATTGGTACCTGTGATTACACCTGTACAAGGTTGTCCTGTCTATTATAGCTGTAGATACTGTGTGAAGTACTTCATATTTTTCCAAATAACTAATGTCCAATTCTATTTACAGCATAAAACTCGCTACAGAAATCAGTGGCTGTGAGGGAAAGGGCAACTGATGTAGCCAGTGATTGTGTTATGATCAAACCTGATACAGCATAGAGTCACCTTACCATCAAAAGATTTTTGATACCTTGATACTGAAAAATGTCTGGATTATACAGAGTAACAGATGATATTACCATCTGTACTAGTTTCAGCAAGATCATAGGCATCAGCAGGAATATGAAATTTGTACTTGTATTGTAAATCCCTCTGCTGTGCTTTCTTTTCTTCCCCTGTTCAGATTCATGCCTTCTTTCCTTGCTCCTACTTCTAATTTTCTCACTTGGATTTCATTTTTTGACCAGCAAAAGGATCATCCCTGACACAGGCAGTCTCATACCACTGGAATGGTAGAGCAGCTCACAGTATCATAGTGTTTTGTAGCTAACAGTATGTATAAATGTACAACTGGTTCTTGGAAAAGAGTGAAAGTGCTTTGCTGAAATAGTCTCTCCAAAAGTATTCCTCCCAAAACTCAGGCAGATGTCCAGCAGGAAAAAATTCAGCCAAGAGTTAAAATTTGCATATTTATAAATTTCTTACATGAATTTTCTAGCAATTTCTACCAAGACTGTTTAAAATAAATAAAATCATAACCTCTGGATAAGAAGCAGATCAAAGTTCAGACTAATGATCTTAACAGTCCTTTACAACCCTGGAAGGAAGGGCTTTCCACTCAATGATCTCAAAACATTAAACAAAAAGAACTAGGTCTTCTTAACAAGCTTCTGAAATAAAGCTTCTTAGCTTTGCTAAGACAATGTAAAAGTTTATGGAGTTTTGATTTTAAAAATCTAAAATTTCACAAACGATTGTTATTTCTTATTCATATAAAATATTTTCATTAAATTATTCTTTAATTGTTCTTTTGTTTGCTAGATATTAAAATGTTTTGACAAAATTCTTAACCATTTTTTGACAGAGTCTCTCTGACTGGATATCACAGGATAATTCAGGTTGGAGAGGACCTCAGGAAGTCTCTTGTCCAACCTCCTGCTCAAAGCAGGATTAGCCATGACATCAGAGCAGGTTACTCAAGTCTTTGACCACTCGGGTTTTGAAAACTCCCAAGGATAGAGATTGCAGAGCCTTACTGGGCAACCTGTTTCTCTGTTCAATAATTTTCCTGGGGAAAAGGGTTTCCCTGTATCCAGACTGAGCTCCCTTATTTCAATTTCCACCTATTGTCTCGAGCTCCCATCATACAGCACTGTAGGCCAACCCCACCTTCTCATAGACCTCCCCTAGGTACTGGGGAAAGGCTGCTTTTGGGTCTGAAGTCCCTTCTCCCCCAAACCTCCCTTCTTCAGTCAGAGCAGTCCCAGCTCCCTCAGCTGCTTTGCATAGGGTAAATGCTTCAGCCCCAACCACCTCTGTGGCCTTTGCTGAATTTACTCCAGTTTGTTAATGTCTTTCCTGTACTGGGGGGCTAAAACTGGATGTAATATCTTGATGTGGTCTAATGAGTGCTGAGCAGATGGGATGATCCCTTTCCTCTGTCTCCTGACCATGACCTGTTCACACAGCCCAGGACACTGTCAGCCCTTGTTGTTCCCACCAGGACCAAGGGCCCTTCCCACAGACCTGCTCGCTGGCCACCCCAGCCCACTCCTGTACCACTGCAAGGGACTCCTCCCTTCCCCGTGCTGGACTGGGCATTGGTCCTGGCTGGATTTCATAAGGTTCCTGTTGGCCCATTCCTCCAGCCTGCCCAGGTCCTTCTGGATGGCAGCCCTGCTCTTGAGTGTATTACCTTGTCCCCCAGTTGTGTGTCACCTGCAACTCAGGTCAGAGTGCACTCACTTGTTCCACCCAACCCAAACTGTGAATTCTATACAGAGCCTATCAGAACTCTATACAGAGCACACTCACTTGCCATCTTCCACTTAAAGATGCTAAGAACAGATCTAAGGATAGACCCCTGTAATACTCCACTTGTTACCAACCTCCATTAACCACTGCCCTCTGAGCCTCACTGTCTAATCATTTTTTTATGCATCCTGTTGTTCACCCACCCAACTGTAAAATCCAGCTTTCAGTACAAGAATATTGTGGGGAGATTTTGTGGGATGGTTGGTCAGGCATGATTTAACCTCAGTAACCAGTATAGCTGCCAAGCTGAGTGTTCCTGATCACTGTCTTCTTCCTCATGTTCCTGGAAATGTGCTCTAAGAGGACTTGCTCCCCAATTTTTCCAGGGACTGAAGTAAGGATGACCAGTCTGTAGTTCTTCAGATTGTCCTTTTTGCCTTTTTTTTCAAAAGGGAGCAACAAAAGACAACCTCCTGTGTTCTGCACAGCCTTTCAAAGATGTTAGAGAACAGCCTTGCACATCAGTCAGTTCTTCCAGCGTCCTTGGATGCATCCTGGCAGGTTCCGTATATGGTTGAGTTCTCCAAGAAGTCTTTGACTCTATCCTAGAATCATAGAATCATTTAGGTTGGAAAGGACCTTTAAGATCATCGAGTCCAACTGTTCACCTAACACTGCCATGTCCACCACTAAACGATGTCCCTAAACACCGCATCTACATGTCTTTTAAATACCTCCAGGGATGGTGACTCAACCACTTCCTTGGGCAGCCTGTTCCAATGTCTGACAACCCTTTTGGTGAAGAATTTTTTCCTAATATCCAATCTAAACCTCTCCTGGCACAACTTGAGGCCATTTCCTCTCATCCTATTGCTTGTTACTTGGCAGAAGAGACCGACACTCACCTCGCTACAATCTCCTTTCAGGTAGTTGTAGAGAGCGATAAGGTCTCCCCTCAGCCTCCTTTTCTCCAGACTAAACAACCCCAGTTCCCTCAGCTGCTCCTTGTAAGACTTGTGCTCTAGACCCCTCACTAACTTTTTTGCCCTTCTCTGGACACGCTCCAGCACCTCAATGTCTTCCTGCAGTGAGGGGCCCAAAACTGAACACAGTATTTGAGGTGCAGCCTCAACAGTGCTGAGTACAGGGGACGATCGCTTCCCTAGTCCTGCTGGCCACACTGGTTCTGATACAAGCCAGGATGCTATTGGCCTTCTTGGCCACCTGGGCACACTGCCAGCTCATACTTAGCCAACTGTCGACCAACACCTCCAGGTCCTTTTCTGCCAGGTAGCTTTCCAGCCACTCTTCCCCAAGCCTGTAGCATTGCATGGGGTTGTTGTGACCAAAGTGCAGGACCTGGCCTTTAGCCTTGTTGAATCTCATACAATTGGCCTCAGTCCACCGATCCAGCCTGTCCAGATCCCTCTGTAAAGCCTTCTTACCCTCAGGCAGATCAACACTCCCATCCATCTTGGTGTCATCTGCAAACTTACTGAGGGTGCACTCCATACACTTGTCCAGATCATTAATAAAGATATTAAACAGAACTGGCTCCAATACTGAGCCTTGAGGAACGTCACCTGTGACCGGCTGCCAACTGAATTTAAATCCATTCATCACCACTCTTTGGGCTCAGCCATCCAGCCAGTTTTTTACCCAGCAAAGCATATGCCCATCCATGCCATGAGCAGCCAGTTTCTCCAGGAGAATGATGTGGGAAATGGTGTCAAAGGCTTTACTAAAGTCTAGGTAGACAACATCCACAGCCTTGCCCTCATCCACTAAGCAGGTCACCTTGTCATAGAAGGAGATCAGGTTAGTCAAGTCCTCATTTATTCTTTGTAGCTTTCCTCCTCGAGCCTCACCTCTAAGCACAGAGGCGTGGGAGACCTTGTTAGGGAAGACTAGGACAAAGAAGATACTGAGTACCTCAGCCTTATCTGTGTCTACTGTTTCTAAATCAGTGCACCCATTTCCCTTGTCCAACTTTTTAATAGGAACTTAATTGTAGTTTCTTGTTTCTCGTGATGTCTGCACAAGCTTCAGCTGCATTTGAGCTTTGGGTTTCCTAACACCACCCATACATACCCAGGAATTGTTTCTAGATTACTTCTTTACAGCTTATCCCTGCTTCCTCTTCCTGTATGTTGCCTCTTTGCATTTGAGTTCCATCACAAATTTCCTGCTTAGTCAAGCTGTTGACCTGATATATCTGTTTTCCTGACTATCAGGATAGACTGTTCTTATGCTTGGAGGATGCTGTCCTCAAAGACCTGTCAGTTTTCCTGAGCTCCTTTGCCTTTCAGTGCTGTCTCCCTGAGGATCCCACCAACCTGTCCCTGAATAAACTGAAGACTGCTTGCCTGAAGTCTAGGGTTGCAGTCCACTATGCTCCTTCTTCATCACCCTCAGGATTTGGAACACCACTGTCACTACAGCCAAGGCTACCACTGTGCATCACATCACTAGTTAGCTCTTCTTTGTTACTGAATAGCAGATCCACCTCTGTACCACCCCTGGTTGGCCCACCCAGTACCCATATCAAGAAGTTGTCCTTGACATCCTTCAGAAGCCTTATTGACTGCTTGTGCTCTTCTGGCAAAGATCTGCAAGGTTAAAGTCCTTCTGAGAATCAGGGTCTGTGATAAAGTGTCTTCTTCAGGCCTATTTTTTTTCTTTTTTAATAATGTTTTAATAATCACAGTTCCTATCAGGGAAATAAAATAATTGTTCTAAGAATGTTCTGATTATGAAGGGGTCTGGAATCTGTAGCTCCCATGTCACAGGAAAACTCTAGATTGTAAGAAGCCTAACACTACATCTTTCTCAAGCTTTCTTGTGAAGCTGGGCTTTCATGCCATATACTTTCATGCAGTTTAAATTAGACTAGCGATGGAAGCACTATTTCATCTCCTGGGCACTGTGGTCCTTACCTCTTTTGTATTGAATAGACAGTGGCCAGAGCACTCCCCAAGTGTGTGCACTAACTGGACGACCAGTGCCAGATGAGTAACAAGTACTATGTTTGGCACAGAATTTGTAGCCAGCAGTAGGTTACCCTGTTTTTCATAACAAGCTTAGTACTAGATATGAAAAGCATGTTGCTTCTGAGTGAGACTATTTCAGCGAAACCAGGCACCACTCCTGCCTCTGCCCAGAATACAAAATACAGAGAGTCTTTGCTTTCTCTGAAGACCAGTGTCAGTAGTTTCAGTGAGATCTTAATAATCAGCTACTTTTTATGACTAGAATCTTAGTTACATTTAGAAATTTTACTCATGAATGGTACTATCTGTTTTCCTTCTTGATTTTTCTTTTTTCTCTTTTGGCTTCAAAAAGAAATGAAGGAATAAAGTGAGAAACATTCAAAATATAATGACAAGAAGACAAGTATGTCCTCTGGTTTAAACCTATTCAGTTAGCTGCAGTCCCAGTGGGAATGAATTTGTTCCATTGCTTTCTCTTCTCTATTTTGTTCTTTGATTATTGCATTTTATTTTATTTCACTTCATTTCATATGTTTTCTTTTCATTTTATTCTGTCATTCTTACTGTTTCTCATGTTTTCTTTTATATTTCTTCAGGTTTTAGGAGCAAAGCTTGAATATGTCAGAAGAGCATTTCAGGTGTGTTAGGGAAATCATTGCAGCAAAGCTGCTTCAGTCTAATGTTCTTGAAAAACCTCTTTCTTCAGAATTATTTGCTTTGTAGAAGTTTCACTTTTATCCAGGGTTTGAGTGGTAGACATTTATTTCCCTTACATTCTTTTTTTTTTTTTTTTTGGTGGTTTATCTCTAAGACATTAAATAAACGAAGTTTCTTTCATTAGGCTTCCTTTTGTTTCCACAAGGGTGAAGGAATTCATCAAAGCAAAGGTCAGATGAGACAGGTCTCTATCTGATTTTTAAAACAAATAGTCTTTCTAGGAGAGAGGATAAGGTTTCCTACTAAAGCATGATTTTCAGAATGTGTTGGGCACCTGCAGCTCCCCCTAACTTCAGAGGAATAGGTGCATGCTAGGCATCTCTGAAAAATTAGCACAGTGCCCTTCCATTGCACTTCTCCAGACTGTGCCAAACACAACAGGAACCCAATGGAAACAAAGGGATTTATCCTGAAACAGGTGCACATATGGATTCAGGGGTTAAAAAAGGGAATGTCTGTGTTAGCATAACGTGCTTGCCCACTTGATATTTCATCTAAGCCTGTGTTAACTGTTCCTTCCATATGACCAACTTGCTCACTATGGCGTATTTGGCAAAACTACAGTAGGTGATATGAAATGGAGACAGAGTGAAAAAAATGTGGGGAGGGAGTTAAAACTACATCACGTTGGTTAAAACCAAACAGCCTGTACAATGCGGGACAGAAAAATGATGTACTATAAAGACATTTTACTTTCTGTTGACAACTTACAGAGGAATCAGGCAGTGCTTCTGAATCTTTGTAAGAAATAATCCTAAATATGAGACATACCAGTCCTTAAGATGGAAATTTTAGGCAAAGAAAACCTACTATAGCATGAAAAGTCAGGAGAATTTGTTGGCTTGGCATTCATGAACAGAACTGCAGATCCTACACTGAATGTCAAACAGCAAAGAAAAGAAAGAAAGGTCTACACAGCTCTCAGATAGTACACCCTGCCAAAATAAGCATGGCAAGGGGGGAGTCTTCAGAGAGACATGGCTGAAGCATCTGTTTTATTTTAATAGTCATTACCTTGACATGCAAGGCATAAAGGCTTTCATAATACTGTCCTTAGCATTATTAGTCATGTGATATGTTATCTGATTAAAATCTTTCCACTACTAGTAGGACTCTGTAGAAAATAATCCTTTCCTCTGGGGCGTTTGTAAGACTCGGTATGCTTGAAAGTCAAGAGACCCTGATAAAAGGCATCAGTGTGAGAATGTATTGCACATCTTTAGCTTACACAGTCATGAGACCCATGTATTTCCTTCATATTTTATTGTGTGGAGACATAAAGATAGCAGAAGTTTTTAGAGGCACTAGGCTGGATATGATAGAGCAATTAAGGAAAAGGAAAATCTGGTATCATGACTTGCCAGACCTTGTCTGAACTTGCCTTGGCCTGTTTTGCGTGTTTTTCCTCCTTGTTAAACTGCAACATCTTTCTAATGACCAGATGTCTATTTCCAATTTGTTTAACTTGTGCTTAACTTTGAATAATATCATGTGATGTAA